AGCATAGATTGTCAAAGTCCAAGACCAGCGGTCAGGTGGGAGCTACGGTAGTATAGTGGACAGTAGAGGTGATAGTAGGTATTGGCGCTGGTCGCTGATGAGCTGGAGAGAATGGACGGCATTAACCTCGCAACAGCGTTGCATCGTGTTGCGAAACATTCGAAGTCATATCAAGTCTCCCAAGTCGCTACTGATCCACGGTGAGGCTCTGGGGTGTCGATTGATGGTAGATCGGCTCAGTGCATGTTGCTATCACTATAGTAGCAGCCCGTGGATCTATATAGAGCGTATTTGATCTGATAGCAGCATGCGGTGTAGAATCTTATGGGATTATGTAGCATCGCTATGATTCGATCGGTGTAGGCTACTTGAGTAAGGGCGCCTTTTTATCACGGTTAATCGGTATACCAACTTTCTGCCACTTCATGCTGTGGGGGCAGTATGATAGGGCCATGATCATTTTTGTTGTTGTTGCCTTGCGTCGCCGTATAGCGTATAAAGTTCATCCGCAGATACACTGCCTTGGTTGACCGCTTGGGTGCGTACTTGAACTCCTTGGACGGTGTCGGCCTCATGAACACGCTCTGGGCATTGGTACGGCTGAATGCAGGTGGGAGATGTTCTATGTGTTGAAAGTGTTATGGTACTGTCAGCGGCACCCAAGTGGATATCAGAGCTGCTGGATCGATGCATTAGCAGTGTAGACCAACTGGAGCCCAAGCAACTTGGTAATGGTCGGCTTCGGGCTGATACCTCGGTGTGGGGGTGTGGAATCGTGATTCGTAGGTCCAGAAATATATGTTCGCTTTGCTCAGTTGAGTCTAGCAGAAGTTTCCTCGCTAATTATTGAAGTCTACGCATGAATCCCGTCTAAACTTCCAGAAACCAATGACAATTTCCCAAAATTTCCTCATAATCTTCGCACTGTCACCAGCATAAGTGGTTGACCATATGCATATTTTCCCACACTGCATAGATATGTGCCCTTCCCATTTTGGGAAGCGATCCGGGTTCGATCCTCACGGGGCGGTATAGCATGGGTTTCAGGTCAAGGACTGTACTGCGTGTATAGGATGTCGAAGCACGCTGCTCCTACTGAGGCGGTGAAGGCCCTCCAGTCAGCTCTTCATGGTCAGGTCCGGGCCTCACTGGATCATTTTAGTGACAGCCATGAGCTTGTTAGTGTGTGTGAGTAGCTTGGCCGTAGTTGATCAGCTCACAGCAGCGTTAGGCACGTCGTTGGCGAAGTTGGGCATTCGTGATGAGACTGTCTTCTCGGCACTGGGCTCGCGATTATCGGACAAGATGGATGATTTTGATATGGAGGTATGTCAGTTTGGGAAAAGGCTTCAGACGGGCGTCTCTTGTCAGGATATTGCCGCGGTATCCTGGGCGTTTGCTAGGGCTAAGTTTACTGATAGAGAGCTGTTCCGGAAAATAAGGGAGTCTCTCACGGTAATGGGGTGGGCGTGCGTGCTGATACCAACTTTTCGCTAACTTCAGGTGAGAACTACTGAGTGCTCTGTGAAGTCTTTGGTGTCGTTGACGTGGAGCTTGTCGAAGCTTGGGGAAACTGGTGGCGAGGAGGACCTGTTCCGATATACCCTAGCACCAACAATTCGATCGTAAGTTCTGTATCTCGATTGTGCTCAATCTTCACTGCGCCACGAAATTATTCACATGCCTAGGTGGCTAGGTGTTATCAGGTACATGCTGGAGTACACCGTACAGGACCTATGTGCTCTGGCGTGGAGCTTTGCTAATGCGAATGTCCATGATGTGGACTTTATGAGCGACATTGCGCACGCCCTGATGCCCAAGACTAGGGACATGAACTGCCAGGTTGGACTTGCTTCATATAATCATCACCTCCTGAATATACTCAGGACGTCTGCTCGGCTGTGGTGGCCTTGGCATCTCTGCATTACTCTCATAAGGAGCTGTAGGACCTAGGGAGAGGGGCTCCGCTCAGGATGGAATTGAGACTCTGAAATTTATCACTTTGAGAACTAAGAAAGGAAGATGTTGTAGCTCTTTAACGTGAAATGGTGTAGAGGAATTGGTGGCTTCTTTATACGTCTACCCTAGGGTTCATGCGTACTTGGTCGTAGGTTCGAGGCTCTGAAGCAACAGTCTTTCCGGCTTATGCATACCTTTACTCCGCTACAGCTGAGTCGGACCTTATATGGCTTTGGAGTGGCCGGGGTGAGGGATAAGAAGCTGTAGGGAGGTTGGGTGGCTGTGGAGTTATGATTGGCTTGCTAGGTTCTATGAGATGACGCTTACTAGTATAGACAAGCTTCATCTGATGTACGCAAAGAACGTGTGCGATGTAGGGGGAATATTATACCGTAATTCGTTCGAATCGTACTCCATCGAGATACTATCAGCATTGATGGAGGCTGAGTACCTCATTCCCGAGCTGACGCGGCCGTTGCTGGACCATCTCAGTCGACAGCTTGATCGACTAGGCCGACAGAATGTGTACAATTATTGACGGTAATTGGGCGGAGCGAAGTTATCTGTGTATGAG